TCTATTAATGGTACTAATATATTTACATCCGGACACGTAACTCCTGCACTGATTCTTCTCATGTAGTTGAGACAATTACTTTTTTGTTTGTTTGTTTTTTGTTTGTTTTTTTGCTTAAGTTTTTTGCTTCCTAGCAGCAATTGTCTTACTATAGGGAGATGAGAGGGTCTGTATTACTTACTACTGGAGAAAGCGTAGCGGTCAGCTTGGATCATGTGTGCCTTAATAACATTACAGCCTTGACGTCATTGACTTTCAGTCAGAGTTGTGCGACACTCAATCGCCGTTTACGGATCGGAATGAATGAGAAATGTCGTTATCTGTATCCCACCTGTCGCAAAAATTCAGTGACTTCTCTTATAACATTTTTTTCTCAGTGTAAACTCTAAAAATAGTTCAATCCAAAAGTATTTAGTGTAAAACATGTTGAAGATTAGCCAATATGCTCTCGATTCATTAAATGATGAGCTGTTTCCTCTATAAAGCTGTTTATTCAGCGTAGTCAAGCCTCTGCTCCATTGACATCCATTCAAAAAAAACAGCCTCTGGTCTCCTTTCCCACATACTGCCAAAGCGGAAGCGCTAGCATTAGCCATTACGCTTTTTTTGGCTAAAGGTTGCAGGCTTGCCTTCTAGTGGCTTTGCTTCCTAGTAACCCTTCAGACTAGGGCTGCACGATTAATCGAATGCGAATAAAGGTGGCGGAGGGAAAAACGAGATGGAGGGGAAGATGCAGGAGGTACAATGAAAGGGGGGAATAAATAAAGAAAGAGAGAAAGGGAGAGCACAAAGATCAGATTTATCCAGAACACAAATAAAGAGACACCTGCCCATCCAGCATTAGGCGTCTTTTGACGCAGCAGCGCGATCTGTTTTGCATGATAAATGATGTGTGTTGTGCTGTAGATGCTGAAGCAGGTGCATGGCCTCTGGATCTGCATCACTCACACCGGATTTCCCAGCATCAGTGCATTTGTTTTTAATATTAACAATGCCAGGGGAAATGAACATGGCGTGATCGCAGCGAGAGTCGCGGGGAAATGATGGCGTCTGAAACTCTGAGCAGCTTATTGCGGAGCAGGAATAGAGAAAGAAATGAATACAGACACAGACTGACTGAGACCATTTTTCCCCTCGGAAAGCCAGTATTATGTGTTTATGGAAATAGTGCAGTGACTGAACTCAGTATAGACAGAATAATGATGTGGGTCAAATCATATTCCCGGTGAAAGTGGAGTGAAGAGATGTATTCGAACTAGACAAGAGCAGTTATCAGAGCTGATTTTATTTCTGTACACTGTAAAAAAAAATACCGTGAATTTAACGGTAAAAGACTGTAAAAATGCTACAGTAAAAATTATGTTAAATGGTTAACGGTAAATTCCCCTGCTATATACGGTGAAAAACTGTATTGGACATTGCATGTAATTTTACAGTAGTATACCGTTTTTGGAAGTGAAAAAAAATCTTATAATTTACTGTGAATAACCGTAAATTGACATTCCCAGAATTCCCTGCGTTACATTTCAAATGTGATGTTTTTGTTTTTGTTTTTTTTTGTTGAAATAACTATGTTTCTTAGTTTTTTCTTATCAGTTTTGTATATATTAGGGTTGTGTGTTACACCTAATGTTGTTAAATGAATGTTTATTGCATTATTTCAGTTTCATGTGTGTTACCGTGATGGTGTTTAGTGTTTGTGTGAATGACACTGTGCACCTTCTGTATATGTTATTATTTAAAAGCTGCTTGTGATGGGCTTTGGTTCATCATGTGACTTTCTCATCACCGCCTGGATTTGGTGGTTATCAGTGTATTACAAAGGTACAAAACGGATTTCAGTACTTCAATAGGTTGGCATATTAACATTATTTCAGTTAACGGTATTTAACTGTAAATTTAAGTTAAAACCGTAAAACCTAAAATGTTGCTACCGTCATTTTTACGGTAGAATTCCGGCAACCACAGCTGCCGTTTTTTTTACCGTAAATTTTACGCCTTTTTTTTACAGTGTAGTTTTCATCTGGAAACACTAAACTACAGGAAAACAGCAGAAGCAGTCATGCATTTATACCATGACTCTACGTGACCATCAACAACACACAATACAATTACAATAGTTTTTGTATTTTGCAGAAGAGCATACATAATGACGTACTTAACTACATTGAGTCAAAAAAGCACTCTAAAGTTCAGCTAATTGCATTTAATATAAATTTAAACTAATGCATTTATATTTAATTGCAATTAACATGCAACTCATGCAAACATTACATTCAGTTTGTCCTCAAATATATTTGTTTGAAGTATATTATTTGTGTAACAAGTATGCTGAAGTGTACTTCTTTTTCCCAAGGGATTTCGAGTCATTAAATACTTTTGTTTACAATGGTGCAAAGGCTTTTCATATGTATGAAATCAGCATCAACACAAAGATTAGATTTGTAAAACCTTGGTATATAACTCGATTTCTCTTTGGCCTGTAAACACTCGTAGTGTGTGCTCATTTGAGACAAGAGTCTGTGTACAGTACAGACACGTGACAAACAGTGACCTGAGTCTGTTCCAGCTCAGAAAGTCTTCACTGGCTCTCAGTGACAGAAGAGTGCTGTGATGAATGGAGCGGTCATCTCTCGCTGGGAGCCAGAGGCTCATACATCAGCGTGGAGAGCTGAGTGATGACCAATCAAAACGGTCATTAGTGTTTTTGAAATTAAGATGAGGTTGTCTGGGGCGGTAACCTGATTACCGAGCATCCAGGAGTTGGTTATTAAATGATTAACCAACCATTACAGCAACTCAGGTGAAGGAGCTTATCATTTGTTGAATGAAGGACTGGAGAAGAAAGCCTTCGGCTGCAAGTGTGAGACAAAGAGATCTGGTTATATTATGGTTACATTTACATACAGCATCCTTGGTTTGTGACTGATGGAATCGTGAAGAATCACTTTAAATGTGTTTATTAACGCATGTAAATAAGCATATGCTGATTTATAGTATAGCTGCTGTTGGTGTTGCTCCATCACTCATGGAGTGTGAAGAAACCTGCAATCTGCTGTCAGCCAATATCAACCACTAGGAGGCAGACGGTGTCACTCTTTTGCTCCAGTGTACAGGATCGTATTGATGGAATATCAACCACAATATTACAGCATTGCATTTTGCCTATTTCAATAATAGGTTAAACACATTCCCATGGTTTAGCACTGATGACTGCATTTATCCTGCAGGTACATGAAGGAAAGAATGAGATCAGGATGTGCTCTTCTCTTTAACCCAAGCTGTATTGCATTTACACATTTGTAACATGATCCACAGTTTACTGTCAATTTTGAAATGATGTATTGCTGATATAGAACTGAGTCTGAAAGTGCTTTTATAATGGTGTGCAGTGGCTCTTGTAACACACACACACACACACTCACACACACAAACACACGCTCACTCACTCACACACTCACACACACACACACACACACTCACACTCACTCACTCACTCACTCACTCACTCACACACACACACATACACACACACACACACACTTAATGAAGTCTGCTTTTATCAGCTCTTATTGCTGTAAGCGTGATTATGGGACTGTCATCATGCGGCGCATGCTCTCCAGCAACTACCAGAAGGTGACCTTTCGCTGATTGTAACCATAGAAACGGAATGAGAAAGGCAGCTTGTCCACACACAGATAAACCAGGAGAGAGAGAGATTGCTTCTGTGCAGACAAAAAAAAACCCACCAGTGAATATAAATTGAGGAAATGATTCCAGACCCATATGATGTATGGTTAAATAGTTCCTTATTTACAGATGCAGGAAAGATACACAGTGACTAATCTTCAGCTTCATGCTGGGAAGGGTGTGCATACACTGTAATCAGACCCTTTGCCAGGTGCTCATTCACAGTTAAACACTGCAATATAATGAGATGGAAAGCAGAACCACAGAAATCACCATGTGAGACAAATCGTGCTCTGGCTCACATTTTTATTATAAGCAGAAATCAGTATGTTTATAACAAATCAAAGGTCTGCTTTAATGCAGCTCAAAATATATAAAAGTCAGAGCAGCTGTAAAACGCTGGACTCTTATTCCAGGAATCCGTTGTGTCGTTTACGACACAGCAGCTTCACTGGAGCAACAGATCGTTAAGTGGTTGCTATAGAGGCTGCCATGATAAAAACATTACAAGTCTCTCTGTATCGAGTCAATGGCTCGCGCACGACCGGCAAACACGCTCTGACCGTACACATGCCATGAAATTGGAAATATTTGGCGCATAACCCCATTTCAGACTGCAAAATGAACTGGATGCCAAAAAAAATTCATGTAAAATGTCACTGCATATGTTTGATGATGATTTGGTTGTCGGTAAATCACTTTTAATAAATGCACCTGCTAAATGAATAAATGCACATGTCAAATTCAGTGCAGCTTATAGATAACAGATGAATCCTCACATGGGAGTGTGTGTTGTGTTGTTCTCAGATCGGCTGGTGTCAGCAGCTCACTGTCTCTCTGACTGAGCACAAATGCAGCTCTGCTGTTCAGTAGCAAACAATGCAATTCTCAGCAGGTGCTTGTTATGTTTTCCACACATAATACATTTATATTTATGCTTTTATCCTAAGCGCTTTGGGTGTACATCAATGCACAATAAAGCGCTACATAAAATGCCTCATTGATAGAGTAGAGGAGAAGTGCAGAGAGGACTGAGAGCAGTGTGAAACCTGGCATTTGATTGAAACGAAGACTATTGATTAGTCATTATTAAGATGGCTTTTAGCCTAAAGCTCACCATAAACACCCAGCGCTCGGGATGTAAATAATTCACTATAGTTTTACAGCTGGAACAGAAACCAGTCTGTGGGAAGACTGCAGTTAAGTAGCCTAAAAGAAAATGAATCAGCCAGCGCTCATTTACATTGTTAATTAGGGAATATTGATCAAGAGCCGGTGCTGTTATCAGTGTAGATTGCACAGTTCTAGACTAAGAGCCATTTATCAGTCTAACTCTATTTTTCACAGGAGGCTGTGGTTAATGTTGATTAACGTGTATGAAACTTTAAGCACGAATGACAAACACAAGGAGATTTTTGGAATATGAGTCACACAAAACGCTTCGTCAAGCATGTGGTGTTGTTGAGCTTTGCTCAGTAATCTGAGATCGAGAGAAGGCACAGCAGGTATTATTTTCAATGAATTTGGAAGGATTCAACACTTTTGGCTTTCTGCAGCATTCCAGCTACCAAAAATGTAGTTTTATGATTTTTATCACCAATTTCCTCAGCATTGGTTAACATTTTAAAATGCCATTTTTTTAATGTGACATTTTGCTCATATACAACAAATGCTTCCCAGAGATCCCTTATGTTAAAGTTTGCTTCTTAAATAATATTGTTGGAAAATGTTAGTCAGAAAATGCATAATCAATTACATGCACATGTTTTATTATTGCATAAACAACCTCTGCAAACGGAAACCACTCAGTTGTTGATTGCATTATAACAGAAATAACATTTTCTAAACCACAAAACAAAAATAATCGAGTTCTTCTGGATGTTTAATAGGACTGACGGAGAGCAGTCTACCGTCCATGAAACATCGGTGCTACAGTATTCAGACCAGCACAGCTGAACATATAAGAAAGGACAGCGCATTGGTAACTGGCATTGGAAGCTCATTAAAAAGCATCACACTCGTCTCCAGGTGACTCAGAGAAGCATCTGATCTGGGCTGAGGACGTGGCGCATGCGCAGTGCGTCGCTGGGAGTCGAGCGCATCGTCGGCTGTGCGGAGTGAAGAAGAGCAGCTCCAGCTCCTGGATGACAGGTATTCACTTTTATTAATTTATACTCCAAACACTGATCTATCGACGCCTCTCGATGGCACTGCGGTAGCTCTCATAGGGACATCATCGGTGTTGCTCTATCTGCCAGGAAGGACGCATTTGATGGGTAACCTGCTTATGCATCGATCATCAAATGGTTAAAATGCTGCGTTGTGCCCTATTGTTAAATAAGAATGACGCTGTATATTTTTAAACGCATCGGACATCCCAGCAGCTATTAATAGACTTCCGTCATATAACTGCTCATCTCTAATGAGAGGAGAGGAGAGCACAGAGTGTCTCATCAGATGACGTGGAGACCTCGGGATGACGTCACCGGTGACGTGGCGATAGAATCAGTGCAAATCCTTCAGCTTCATGCGATATTCACAAACCCATGTCAGTTATTATCATGTGTAACTGATGATATCATTCGTAATGAAACAAACGTGTGCTATTTAGAAATTAAACAGACCAGAATGTAAGCATTTTAAATTGCTGTGTGTGAGAAAACGATAATTTAATGCCATTGTCGTGTTAAATGAGAAGTAGGCCTAGATATTGCAAAAAGTAGCTTTAGAAATAAATATTTTTATTTCAACTTAAAATGTATTACATTTAATCATTAAGGCTACAATGGCCTAACATAAACTATGGAACACAAACAAAGATCATTTGAGAAACATCTCAGTATTTTTGTTCATACAATCAAAGTCATTGGTAACCAAATCAGCTTGGTCACCAACAGTCTTCTTTTTCTTATAGTTACAAACATTCTTCATTATTATTATTATTATTTTTATGTGGGCATATGTATCCATAAAAGAAAGTAAGGGATACAGGTTTGAAACGTTATGAGGGTGAGTAAATTATGACCTAACGTTTTATTTATTTTATTATTATTAATAATGAAATTATATTCTAAATAAGAAACTAAAACTGCCAGTAGGTGGCGGCACATGACGTTATGAGTAAGCAGGGGCGTCATGCACTCATGCTTGTCATGTGACACAGCAACCACAATAGCACTGTATAACTGATATAGGCTTGTTTTATTTTATTTAATTTTTTTTCCTTTTTATTCTAAATATTTCCAAACGTGTTAACTATATCAGGAAATATCTCGATTCTCAAACGTGTAAGTAAATGCGTTTTGCACCAGATTGTTATTTGATCTATAATCATACAAAGTAGAGTAATAGTGTAATCTATTAACTACACATAAAAACCCGACTTTTTACTTAAGTAGGCCTACCAGATATGGGTGTCATGCCATAAAATATTTTTAATACGACTGACTTTGTATTTCATGTGAATTTAATAACAATATTGTAAGTTACTATATTATAACATTTTAATTCTACAGAGAGCAAAGAACATTAACATTATCGAAGAGCATTTTCACTTCCGTCTAGCCAGAGTTCAGGCACTCTCACAAACTCCCATTAAAATCACTGAAGCTGTTTACACTGTGAAATTAATATCTACGCACATCTGCACAGTCAGCGAGCGAGTGAACAAAACACCGCGTTCAGCGATGACTCGTCTGAACGGCTCTGATTGGCCATTGCATTCATAAGCTCAACAGAGTCGTGTATGATTGGTTATAATGCAGCGCTGTACAAACATCTGTCTCTGGCTCAGCGCCAGCCAAAGCGCAACGCAGATTTGAATTTAAGCAGCTGATGCTGTGCTGCACTGAACTATCTAATCACACCGGTGTGATTGAATCAAATATAAAAAATATATATATTATTCAGCTATTTTTTGTCTTTTGGAAGCTGCATTTAAAATCCACTTGGCTCAGAAATCTGAGGGGCACGTGCCCCTCACTTTGAATGGGCATGACGCCTTTGTGAGTCATTCATTCATTCGATTCGTTCAAACCCTGGATTCATTCAGGAATGAAGTAAATGGCTCTCTTTATGAACGGACCATAGAATCATCGGTTCACGCGATTCGTTCAAAACCTGGATTCATTCAGAATCTATTCACCGCTGTGTGCTGCTCGGAGACACACAAAACAGTGGCTTTATAGTTAGCCTCATATTTTCGTTGGCAAAATTGATGAAAAACACACAATAACACAATATGAACTTCTCATTTACTGAACTGCTAATTTAAAATCACATTTGCACTCGTGTTCTGGACTATGTGTGTGTGTGTGTGTGTGTGTGTGTGTGGGTACAGTTTCTTATCCCGAAGTAAAAATCCAATTAATTTTCTAAATAAAGGAATTTATTTTTTATGATAACTTATAAACTGTTAAAGACAGACCTACTTACTAGGTTGTTAATCAATTAAATCTGCTTTGTTTAAGCTATCTGCTTGCATTATTTCAACATTTTTTTCTTTTAAATAATTGTGTTTAGCAGCAGAACTCCTAGTGAGAAACTATATTACTCGTAATTCTGTAATCTCCATCAATCAGAGAATCATATCGAGAATCAAAATCAGGAAATCATGTCATAAGAGCTCTTTAGCTCCGCCCTCTCTCATGTAGCACTATACATGACGTAAGGTGCATCCAGAATCACATACTGTTTGAGTAGGTAGAACTACATTTGAGTTTCAACTTACTTTGCGACTGTTAAAAAAAGGTATGTTCTTTATAGCATGAATATGAGTATGAATGAATGTTGCCATGGTCATGTGATGCGTCAGTTGCGTGGCCTCATGGGATAGTAAAGTGACCACTGAATGCACACACTTCAGTATCTCGCTGGAAGTAGTCGGTCATCCAGGTACATTTTGCCTACTGTTTTTCATGTACTATACATTGAGACGTACTGTACTACTCACCTCATACTGTTTTTTGCATACTGTACAGTAGGGAGGTTTTCGATTTCAGACGCAGTGTCATTTCCCCTACATTCTCAAACTATCAAAATATTTGTATTTGTTTGCATATTTTGCAATAAATACAAAATATATTGTTTATATAGATATAATCGACATCTTTAAATCTGTAGTTTTGTATGATTTTATATTTCTCCATTCTCGTTCACAGTGTTTAATGGGATTGTAGTTCTTTCCCTCACTAAACTCTTGTATCTTTTTCTTTTTGTCTGCTCTTCTAATTCTTTTTCTGCTTCAAATCAGAGTCTGTAATGTTCTGATTCTCCTTATAGCTGGTTGGGTTGGTTCATTGCTTATAACTAGACTTTTTTTAAAATTCCTATGTGAAAAATGCTTCCGGAATGTTAAGCAATGGCACTGGAATTCTACTGAGGATGGGTAAATGTGATGTTCTGTATCTCTGCATGACACCACTTTAATTACAAATAAACAAGCTGACGTCGTGTGAAGGAAGGGAGGCTCACTGATGTGCTGAAGGACGGCTGAGTCACGAGCTTCATCCGTGATTTCATTACAGACTCATTCCCCTCCTGCTCTCGTCATGCACAGATGCTCATATCTGAAGCCCAGCAGCAGCGTTTGAACACGTCCAGCAGTAATCAGATCTGCTGTAAAGCTGGAGTCTGTCGCTTTGTTCAATGTTAAAATATGATCTCCTATTCCAGATTAATATGCAGAGTCACCGTTTATAGGTAAACTTTCAGAAAGCTGATTCTAGGTTTCAGGAGAGACTATATGTGCATCAAATGGGGAGGACATCTCTTTAAAATTCTGCAGAAGCAAAGTGGCACAAACGTCAGCTTCAACCAAAGGACAATCATTACTATTCACATAGTGAGGAATTAGTTTATTAAAACTGCTTGGTCAAAATCTTGTAACTAGAATGCTGTTTCTTTAGGTTGTTAGTTGCCTGACTGTTTATTTGAGCAGATGTATGTGTGCTAAATGCATAAAATGGGCCTGAAATTAACACGTCAATTGCCAAATGAAACAGAATATTACAGTGTATTAATATGAAATACTTCACAGGTTAATAGTGCTATAATAATATCATGCACATAGAGTTTCATGGCTGGTAAACTGAAGTGAAATTGGAACTCAATGTCGATGTTGTGTCTGTGTGCAGATGTGAAGCATGACGTCCTGCTCAGAGATCTGTGGCTCGGATTACACTGAGCAGAGCCATGGCGCCCTCAGCAGCGGTTACCAGGGTTACGGGGTGCGTTCCTACCTGCATCAGTTCTACGAGGAGTGCACCGCTTCCATCTGGGAGCGCGATGAAGATTTCCAGACACAGAGATCGCTGAGCCGCTGGAGCTCTGTGCTCTGGAAGGTGAGCTGTATTCTGCTGTTTCCGTGCAAACATGTGCCTGTTTTTATGTTTGCAGGAATCCATGCTATTTTATGTGATTTGTATTATTTTTAAATTACTATTTATTGATTTTATTTCCGTTTTAGTTCATTTTAGTGCTTTAACTTTTAAGGCAACATTTCTAATTTTAATTTAGTTTGTTTTCATCTAATATTTATAATTTATCTAAGCTTAATTTCAATGAACAAAACTGTTTTTAATAGTTTTAGTTGATAATAATAGCCCTGAAGTGATCTCGTGTAGTACTCCTGACTGTCAGAATAAAATTTGGTTTATTCTGCAGCTTATTCATGACCACGATCAGACACTTTGAGTCTGTCTGACCGATTTATAAAACAACCAATCACCGTTCATTTTCAGCCAATCACAAAGCTGCTCCCTCTTCAAAAACACTGGGTTAACTGTATTACTTTTATTTTCAATTGCTATTTTGTCTTCCAACAGCATTTTCCAATGAAAACAAGATAATCCTGATAGAAAGATCATTGTATTGCAATGATTCTTGTTTTGTCTTGTGTTAATTTATAGTGAACTTTCACACCATAAAAAGCCTCTGAGTAATAATCATGATCCCAATATTGACCAAAAAAATGATGATTATCTTACCTGCAAACTATGCCATTGACATGCAAATCCAACTTGTTTTGAGGGGTTTATGAATGTGTATCAGGGCTCGCAAACTTTAAAAAACGGCTCGGATCATATTGCATTATCATATCAGATTTTGAGTAACAGATCGGATAATTTTCCAGATGAGCAAAGAAAATATGGTTCTTTATTATTTAAATAACAGAATAATTCTTTGATACCACAGCAAAAACTAGCAGCATACAGGGATGTAACGATTCACTCAACTCACGATGCGATGCGCTTCACGATACTGATTTCACAATACAATTTTCTCACAATTTTTCTTTCTAACAAAATGAGATTTAAGACAAATTATAAATGAGAAGGTGTCCTTTTATTATTTCCCCAACAAAATGCAGCACATTTCTTTGTGAAATTGAAATATGTCAAATAATAAAACTAACTTGAAATTTTTAAACAAATCCCAAATCAAATAATTAAATAATACAAATAAAATAAATATCTTTATATAAACAAACTAAGGCTTTGGCTGTGCTTTTTCCATTTAAAATCAGAGGCAACCACTACATGTTAATCATGATCCAAACAAATATGCTAAATACATGTTATTTCGATTGCAATTAGATTGCATAATTTCGAAATTTGAAGCAAAAGCAGAATGGTCTTATTTTAGCTTTGTGAATGAGACGCAAATGCCACTCTCTGACAGCAGGTGGCGCTTATGGAACAGCAGGTATTTATAGGCTGCTGCCCCTTTAAGACCGAATGCACGGATCTAATATAATGATGCACTTGAGATTTCTTTCTCCACTGTTTACGTTCACTTAAGACATAACCGACTGTGTTTACGAGTGTGTATGTGTTCATTCAGATGCAAGGATACACGAAAGAGGAATCAATTCTGTGTACCGCATTGTCTGCAACGCGGCTCTCTGTGCGCGCTTTGAATGCGCGTGAATGGTTTAAAACACTTGAATGTTTAAATTGGCAAGACTAACACGTGCAAACGATCAACTATGATCCGTTTTACCCCTACAAGCTAGTAAACAACGCAAATCAAGGAAGGAATTTAATATCACTGTTCAAGATAGCCCGTCGGGCAGGACGGTGATACATTGTGGTAGCCTGACTGGAAAACAATAGCCCCGGGACGTCGGGCTAGCGATTTTGCAAGCCCTGTGTATCTGAAGGGAACTGACTGTCTTCAGAAAAGTTTCAGTGACATTTTCTTTTTAATTTTACCTCCATATGATGTTTATGAGTGCTTTGAATCTGGGGGTAACCGCAGTATTTCTGCTTGTCCTCTGCTTGTTTTGATTAGTCATGTTTAGTCATATTTAACATGCACGCTCATTTATTAGGCTGAAATGTGAAGTTTATCATTTTATGAAACTAACTTTTGTCAAAACTTTTTATTTGAAATGTAAAGTTCTTTAAATCATGGCTTTTTAGGTTTTTTTGTTTTGTTTGTTTTTTACAGTCATTTTACAGTTTAGGATGTTAGCATGGATATTGTTGTTGTTTCAAAACAAAGTTGCTACCTAAATGACATGTAGTTCTATTCTGATATCAGAATTTTCACAAATTATTTCAGTTGCTGATTCCAGGAATTTATTTTAGAAGAAAAATGCCCCTCTGTTACCTTTGGCACATGAGTTTGCAGGCATTTATTATAGACCCAGCCGGCACCTTGATATCAGTTTGACGTCAAATATTAGTCAAGTATTGATCTCAAGATGATGTAACATCATTTTAAATTCAGTTTGGACAGCAATTTCTTCCAGTGGTCATTGGGTGAAAATAGGAAGTTAATCCCACACTGAAACTGGTTTAATGTTTAATGTAGGACAGTATGTTTGATCTAGATCAAATCAACGTCATGTCAAGTTTTTGTCCGTTTGATTTGCATATTTGCCCTGTTTTTTGACGTAAATTTTGATGTCAGTTTGATGTCTTTTCAACATCAATCGCCCGCTGCTCTGTAAAAATGCTTTTATAAAACGGATAGTTCCGGTGCTTGATTCTGATTGGCTGAGCCACGTTCCAAGCTGTTGTAAATGACTCTACAAAGTAACATACACCTTTGTTTACGTTTGTGTGTTGCTCGGCAACCACTTTGTAGCAACCACAACTGTTTCTGAGGAGCTACATTGTTTGGTGGAAGAATACTGTTTTTATTAATATCATTACACTTTATTTGCTCTGTTTTATTCTGTGAAACCTTACTACGTATATGGAATAACCTTTTTATAAAAGCAGAAACCCCCGTGAAGCCGTGGTTTACAGTGAATTTATAACAGCTAAGGGGTTTTAGGCACTTCACATCATACCTAACAACTCCCCTTAGCTGTTATAAATTCACTGTAAACCACGGCTTCACGGAGCTTATTGCTTTATTTTGGAGTTGTAAATGAAACAAAGATTACTAAGAAAATGCAATTTCAGTCTTCCTACTCTACTTCAAAATTCCACGTTTAATTCAACGTGTTGCTTGCCGTTTCTTTGTAATTATTTGTGAAACTTGCTAGGAATTTCTGAGTGGAAATAGTTCCGAGGTAAATCTTTTTTCAGTGTGGTGATGAATACAGTAATAGTTTCTTCTGTGCTTCTCTCCACCAGGTCTGTCTCGCGCTAGGTGCTCTGATTCTGGTGGCAGGGTTATCCGTGCTGCTGGTGGGCTACGCCACGCCGCCTCGACTCGAAGCGTTCGGAGAAGACGAGCTGCTGTTTGTGGACGGCCACGCGGTGCGAATAGATTACGGTTAAGATGCGCCTGTGGGATTATGTCATGTCCTCTCTTTGTGTTGCACATCATTCTTGCTCCATCATTAGAGCTTTCCGTACGCTAGTGTTCTGCTGGAGATTTCTTTCTGTCGGCTTTTCTTGTTTCGTGTTTCTCTTTGGCTTCATGGCACTGCTGTGCTTTTGTTCTCTGTAACAATTATTTTGTGTAGGTATTTGCATCTTATTATTGTTATATTTTTACTTTGATTAGCGCAAATGTTGCATGATGACAATTCAGTGAAACTTTGTAAACTGCTTTCAAGAAGGTTGATAAAGAATGAAAAACCGTCGCCGTCGCTTCTTAGTGTAATATTTTGTGTTATTTATTGATTATGAATTATCATTGAACATACTGCATATGCATTCAGATGTTTGAAAACGCCGAGGCTTTCTAATGAACTTAGGATAATCGAAACTCTCGGACAGGCCTAAATGAAGTCTAAAAATGTTACATTTATAATATCAGCTGCTTCGAGAATTGATTCTTCTTGTTTAAACTGACATATATGGATGTGTTTTCAGAGGTGTGTTGATCACAAACGCTGGTAATCGTCTCAAACTGTCAAAGCTTCTGGTTTGGTCTGCTCTTGGGAAGGAGACAGAAGGTATCAGAGCTGTTCTTACTCTTGGAACATGTCTATTTTTCAGCAAACAGAATAAAACTTACTGTTTGTTACCGTCATTGTCTGTCAGTGGCTATTTCTTCCACTTGTTCACTTTAAATTTGATCATTTAAAATCGAAAAATAGAATCAAAATAGATCCCAAAAGCAAACAAAAAACAGTAATTTACACTCACGGTGTGCTGTAATACTATCAAAAAAATCATGATCCTAACCTTTATCTCTATAGCAAAATCTCCGCTGGCCACACATTGATTCATATATTTTATCATTAAAATACTGTCATCCTGGACACCGTGAGCCCAGAGACTGTAGTGAAGATCGTGAGTTTTTAAAAGATTAGCTTTAAGTAAATAGTGCTCATAAAAGGCTGTCGTGATTTATTCTCACTTGAAATCAAGAAGAGGCTTGGAGCTGGAAACAGTATTCATTAGGTGAAAATAATAATGTTCGGTCACATTAGTGAAAACCAAGCGTCTTTCTGTTGGTTAACTGTGAATTTGTGCGTCCAACTTGAACCTTATGCAAAATATGCATGTGGAAATATTTCTCGATCACAGGAAATTGGTGATTGCGTGAATTCCTATAGATGCAGTCACTTTAGAGAATTTTCTGCTAAATTTTCTGGGCAAACAAGGTACGTTCTCCATTGTCAAGATGTTGCGACTCACAGCTCACACAGAAGTCACTCTTAACCCAAGCTGATTTCTATTGTCGAATTCACCTGACAACAGTTTGAATCTGATGTGAAATTTGCGTGAAGAACCTTCAGTGCACAAGCAGCATTACAGATTGTGTAGAATTCTGTTGAAATGACTGCATTTTGCTGAACAACAGTAAATGTGACGTGCTTTAAGTGTAGTTCAAAAATGATGGCACTTCGAAAAGATTGAGAATATTATAACTTTATTATAATAATATTATAAATATTAAAATAGTGAAAATACCATATTCTCACTCTCACACAGAAGCATCACCAGATTACCTACCAGCTGTGTGTGTGTGTGTGTGTGTGTGTGTGTGTGTGTGAGTGTGTCACTCACATTGAGATACAGTCAACAAAACGCAGCCAAATCAGTTAAACACTGATGGAAATGTTTTTAATAGGGTGATGACTTTACCTCTTGCTATTCAGTTTTTTCTTTCTCACTACAGAATTTTATTCACACACACACACACACACCTTTTTTTTTTTTAATTAAGAACGGTAAATGCAACATTTTCAGACTTTTTCTTAAAATTGCAAGTGGATATCTTGCAATGCTGAAATAATATTTTTTTTATTTCTCAAAATTGCTAGAAAAAAGACTGTATTTAGATATGTATTTAGTTTGCATGTAGCTTATCCTTCAGGACTGATGTTAAGTCAGTTGAAATGATAATATAACGACATGCACAACGGGAGCGACTGGAAGATGGATAGAAATCCATATATTTAGCTTCCTTGACAAAAAGTATCTAAAATAAATATGTTAGCAAACATTACACCTATCGGCTTAGCAGACATTAGCACTGGAACTCATTTAGTTACCATATTTATGTTACTATATGGAAAATATTTATTTTCTCAAGTCCTAACTGGCAAAATTAGCTGTTATTAAAGCTGTTCACAGTATTAGAATCTCAATACAATAAATTAATAATATGAATAAATTAGTAGTAATCAAAGTAATGAATCAGCCTCTAAAGGCATAGTTCACCAAGAAGTGATCATTTGAATGACTTTCTGTCTTGTCACACAAAGAAGATATTTTGAAGAATGTTCTGGTCTCTCTTTTCCATAGTTTTCACATTGTTATACAGAAAACAACAGCCAGAATATGTTCACGATAAAGTTCTCCTTCTGTGCTCTGCAGGAGGCAGACAACACACATGATGGCAGACGATCGTTTCTCACTGAACTCCTTCAGGTTTTCATTCAGTATCTGCGGCTGCGTCCTCACTGGGATCTGGATTCTCCTCCACCGGCTCTCCCTCCTTCTCTGTGTTCTCCTGGTTCTCCTCTTCATCTCCTCCTTCCTCTGGTTTCTCCTCTTCATCTCCTCCTTCAGCTTCTTCGTCCTGCTTCTCTTCACCGTCATCATGTGCCTCTGGTTCTGATGCCTGTCCCTCTTCCTTTATGTCTCCATCCTCTTCTTTCTTCTCTTCCTCTTTCTCATCCTCTTCTTTCTTCTCTTCCTCTTTCTGATCGTCTGCTTTCTTCTCTTCCTCTTTCTCATCCTCTGGTTTCTTCTCTTCCTCTTTCTCATCCTCTGCTTTCTTCTCTTCTTCTCCGTCACACGGTGATTCTTCTGTGTTTTGGGCCGCTTCACCTTCTGCTTTGGTTGAGTCGTCTATATAAGGACTGGCCTCCTCTGCCTCCTTAATAAAACAACATCACAGATCAGTGTGTGACACCCTGCTGCATATTTTTGTGGATACCTTGATACACTGACATTCAGAAAAAAAAAAGTTTTATTCAGATGCATTAAATTGATCAAAAGTGAGAGTAAAAACATTTATAATGCTACAAAAGATTTATATTTCAAATAAATGCTGTTATTTTGAACTTTCTATTCATCTGTGAATCCTGAAAAATAAAACGTATCACAGTTTTCACACAAATATTGTGCTTCAACAATGTTTTCAACATTGATAATAACCAGAAATGTTTCTTGAGCAGCAAACCAGCATATTAGAATGATTTCTGAAGATCATGTGACACTGAAGACTGGAGTAATGATGCTGAAAATACAGCTGCGCATCACAGAAATACATTACAGTTTAACAGATATTCACATAGAAAACAGCTGTTTTAGATCATAATAACATTTCACTGTTTTTACTGTATTTTCGATCAAATAAATGATTAAAATTAATCCAAACTTTGGCCGCATACATACACACTGAACAAAATTATAAACGCAACACTTTTGTTTTTGTCCCCATTTTTCATGAGCTGAACTCAAAGATCTAAGACTTTTTCTATGTACACAAAAGGCCTATTTCTCTCAAATATTGTTCACAAATCTGTCTAAATCTGTGTTAGTGAGCACTTCTCCTTTGCCGAGATAATCCATCCACCTCACAGGTGTAGCATATCAAGATGCTGATTAGACAGCATGATTATTGCACAGGTGTGCCTTAGGCTGGCCACAATGTGCTCACTAACACAGATTTAGACAGATTTGTGAACAATATTTGAGAGAAATAGGCCTTTTGTGTACATAGAAAAAGTCTTAGATCTTTGAGTTCAGCTCATGAAAAATGGGGACAAAAACAAAAGTGTTGCGTTTATAATTTTGTTCAGTGTACGTATATACACTTTTCAGTGTAGCTGTGTCCAAACATTTGACTGCATTGTTTTAGACACACATCCTCACTACTTTAACACTCTTACTAGACAGCCAGAAGCCCAATCTACAGTTACTCAGAAATCAGCCGCCTGTGTTAGAGATCACGATGAGGCTCGAACTCCTCACCTGCTGGACCAGTGAGGATTTCTCATCTTCTGCTCTTCTGTCCTCTCCGTCATCTGCACAAAGACACACAGCACAGCAAACATGAGACGCCAGCGCCATCCATGGGTCAGGATTCACACTACAGCTCAGCGCTGGATTCACATTCACACAGACCATCTGATCTCACACCCAAATCCCGATTCAATGCTTCAGTTACGGACACACAGAGAAACGGCTTTCATTGCTTCACACTCTGTGTTTCCAACTGTGTTAATAAAGACATCAAAAGATTTTTAAAAAAATCAAGAAATTCATATATAATTACATAAAAATAAAATCAGTGGTTTTATTGATGAAATAAACAACGATCGATATGATCATAGACTAGTGTAGACTCAAATTCACATTTCAAAAATGGTAAATTTAGTCAAACGAGCATGTATGTACATCACACTCTTATTAAAACCTCTCATGAATTAATTACAGAGTCGCTGTTAAAATGACCATTAGCTTTCGACGCTTCTGTGTAATTATTTTTGCGAGATTTACAGTCATACCATTGTACTCGCTAGTAAACAAGAAAATTACACGAGTGTTTTAAATACTTAATGAGTAATAAATCCAAAGATTGCATGTGAAATCAATACACTCTGAATAATTAAACCGCAGAATTGATGCACCTCATATAAGTTCACGCTTTCCCCAACAGCGGCTATAAAAATATTGCTGTGCAGATGATAGCGTTTTACCCAGGCATTTAATGCGTTTCAAACGCAAAACTGATTGAAGTTTAGCAGCGGAGATGAGCCGGCGTAGCAATAATGGGCTTCTTTGAATATTTTATGGAAATCGTTCACATTTATTAACTGTAGTCCAAAAGCCCGACTGTGAGCAGGAGCGCTAATGTAACAATAAACAGTTCAATGTGACTGAGAGAAGGGCTCGTCTCATGAAAATGCTAAATCAAATTAAATACAGCATTTTAAAGCCTGCCTTCATTAAGGAGGGTGACTGCATAAAGCCCGACTCCATTTCCAGTTAGCAGCCTTTATTTCTCTGCCAATTAAACACTGCTTCTCTTCACTCGTGTTTTCTCGTGTCTGTGTCACTGTGCAATGCAAAAGCAACTAAGAACTGTTGAATAACTGCAAATACGAAATGCAGTTCAGTATGCAAATATTATATTCGCATCAGGAGAGGTTCAAAAACACCTGTAAACAAAAATAATCCATGACCATCACCATACTTCCCTAGATGATTGATTACATTACAATAACTGCAAACATTTTTTGTATCACATGTTGGTAACACTTTAGTTTAGGGTCCAATTCTCACTATTAACTAGTTGTTTATTAGCATGCATATTACAAGCATATTGGCTGTTTGTTAGTACTTACAAAGCACACATTAATGCCTTATTCTGCATGACCATACACTCTAAAGACAAATGGTGCTAAATAGCACTAAAAGTGGTTCATTGGCTGGTACTCATAGGGGAACCACTTTAAGTGCTCTTCAGCAGCTGTTTTTAAAGGTGTTAAACAGCACCGTAAGAGGAACCCCATTCTTCCCTCAGATTTTAGATGTCACTCCACTCTCATGTTTGCTATGAATGGGAATTTACTACGATGCCAAAAGCTGTTTTGAATCACTTTTATGCTCTTCAGAGGTCGGAAAGTCTCATGTGGAGTCTGGAATATTTCCAACTTAAGGTTGAGAATCATGTTATCTTCAGGAAATACACTGTATTTTACTGTCGTTTGAATCCTTTCCCAACTAAACTAACAGACTAAGAGAGCCTTTAGAGAACTATACAGGGGCTTAACAGGTTCTTTATATGATAGCGGTGCCTTAAAACCTCAGCCACCCCAAACAACCGCTGAAGAACCACTTTTATTTTGTGTGTATTTGAGATCCCTTAATCCTTAAACCCCAGACCTAAACTTAACAAGCTTACTATTAATAAGCAGCACATTAGGAGTTTATTGAGGCAAAAGTAATAGCTAATAGTTTGTTAATAGTAAGAATTGGTCCCCAAACTATAGTGTGACCCACGTTTTCTAAAATGTTATGTTTAAATATGCAAATTATACATTATCTAGTCAAACATGCACTAATTTGCTGTAACTTTCTAGAACAGAAATCTGACAAAACATTGGATAAAATATTTCAAGTGCTATTTTAGCATCATTGAATAAGTAAATATTGTTAGCTGATGCTAACTGTCTAGCTAACGAGCTTGCTGGTGCTAAGTTGAGGTACTTTTTAGATATAAAGCCCAAATGGTTTTATTCAACCACCTAGACAGATTACATCTGGGGGAAAGAAAGGATGTGATGTTCATAACATGGTAACTACAGTAATTATCAAAGTGGGAAGTCATGCCCTCTGGGGGCATTTGGCCAGGGGTGTTTTTACACCACAGACAAGGTTTGAGAAGAAAAAAATCATTATGAAAATATACATATATTTTCCTTAAAATGTTCTTCCTAACGTCAGGCCTTATTCTCATGGACACATCAACATCAGTGTCTCTATGTTTTAGGTAAAAAAAAAAAAACCTGAAACATTAAAACAACACAGACTATATAAAATAATTCATGCGCGTTCATATTCCCCGCTGCCGTAACGTTAACAGTTTTATTAAAATGCTACGCATTTAGCCCTATGTGACGTCTGTTTTTATATTGTTTATCAAAAGTATAAATTGTTATATTGCTTGGATTAACAATCCGAGTAGACAGATATGAATGTTTATTCATCATAACCATACTGAAAATAAGTAAATATTGTTAGCTGATGCTAACTGTCAAGATAACGAGCTTGCTGGTGCTAAGTTGAGGTAATTTTTAGATATAAAGTCCAAATATTTTTTATTCAACCACCTAGATAGATTACATCTGGGGAAAAGAAAGGATGTGATGTTCAGAACATGGTAACTACAGTTATCATCAAAGTGGGAAGTGATGCCCTCTGGGGGCATTTGGCCAGGGGTGTTTTTACACCACAGACAAG